TGATGTCCTGGGACGGAGGTTGTAAAGTATCCTGAATCTGAAACCACGGGCACCTTTGTTTAATGGTCCTCTCTCCTCACTTAGTGAGAATTGCCCCCAGGCCCGATTCCCATTCTGTAGCCACATTTCTACTAGACTGGAATGTTTTCCAAATCCATTAGCCTGAAGAAAAAAGGAATGAGCGAAAAGCAAGCTGCTCATATTGTCAAGATGAAATGCTGTCGTATAGATCTTATCAAAATTCACTGTGGGGTTCAGGAGATTTATATTATTGACAATAGTTTAATGGACAGTGACAACCCAGATTCATATGATATATCATGCTGAATCCGATACGTCTGTGAGATTATATTCCAACAGTCAATTTGTCTAATAAATCTGGCAGAGGTTTATGAAAATGCCATCTACAGCGGGTAAAATAAGTATTGAACACATCAACATTTTCCTCAGTAAATATATTACTAGAGGTGCTAATGACATGAAATTTTCACCAGATGTCAGTAACAACCCAAGTAATCAATACATACAAAGAAATCAAACCATAAATGTCCACAAATGAAGTTATTTGTAGTAATGTGGAATGGTACAGGGAAAAAGTATTGAACACACTACTGAACTTTATCTAATACTTTGTACAAAAGCCTTTGTTGGCAATGACAGCTTCAAGACGCCTCCTGTATGGAGAAACTAGTGGCATGCATTGCTCAGGTGTGATTTTGGCCCATTCTTCCACACAAACAGTCTTCAAATCTTGAAGGTTTTGTGGACCTCTTCTATGAACTCTGATCTTTAGTTCTTTCCATAGATTTTCTGTTGGATTCAGGTCAGGTGATTGGCTGGGCCATTCCAGCAGCTTTAGTTTCTTTCTCTGAAACCAACTGAGAGTTTCCTTGGCTTTGTGTTTGGGCTCATTGTCTTGCTGAAATGTCCAGCCACGTTTCATCTTCATCATCCTGGTAGATGGAAGCAGATTTTTATCAAGAATGTCTCTGTACATTTTTCCATTCATCCTTCCTTCAATTATTTGAAGTTTGCCAGCACCATATGCTGAAAAACACCCCACACCATGATGTTCCCACCTCCAAACTTCACTGTTGGTATGGTGTTTTTGGGCTGATGTGCAGTGCCATTTGACCTCCAAACATGATGTGTATTCTGGCATCCAAACAGTTCAATGTTGGTCTCATCTGACCAGACTATATTCTCCCAGTATTACACAGGCTTGTTTAAATGTTGTGCAGCAAACTTTAAAGGAGCTTCAACATGCTGTTTCTTCAGCAGTGGAGTCTTGCGTGGTGAGCGTGCATACAGGCCATGGTGGTTCAGTGCATTACTTATTGTTTTCTTTGAAACAATCATACCTGCTAATTCCGGGTCTTTCTGAAGCTCTCCACAAGTGGTCCTTGGCTCTTGGACAACTCTTCTGATAATTCTTTTCACTCCTCTGTCAGAAATCTTGTGAGGAGCACCTGGTCGTGGTCAGTTTATGGTGAAATGATGTTCTTTCCTGTGTCACTCCACATTATTACAAATAACTTCATTTCTGGACATTTATGGTTTGATTTCTTTGTATGTATGGATCACTTGGGTTGTTACCGACATCTGRTGAAAATTTCATGTCATTAGCACCTCTAGTAATATATTTACTGAGAAAAATGGTGATGTGTTCAACACTTGTTTTACCCACTGTAAGTTCATTTTTCAAATTAAGAGTTAATGCATTTTCTCCTTGTTTCAAATGTCCAATGTCTCTGACATATACATTGAGCCTATTGAAAATTGAAAATGCACAACTCTAAGCTTATTTTTACACAACAACCTGCATAATATTATTATACTTAAACCAAATAAATACAGTTTTAATTCTGCATAAGTTCTAGATTCAAACTATATGCATCAAGTCTCATTTCAAAAAAAACATCTTACCTGAATTTCGTTTTTCAAATGTTGCATAAGCAAGCAAAAAGTGTTTTTTATACTCATTTACACATAGATGAATTACATTTTAAACCTTGTGATAATACAGATTAAAAACTCAAATAAAGTGTGCGAAACAGTTGGAAACAATGCAAATGTATTTGTATAAGTGAATTCAGCTTGTAGTTTGCCAACAGTACAAATCCTTGCCACCCTGTGCCACATCAGCCCCCCTACGACTTGCCTCCATCTTTTATGAGCACTACAAAGGGCTCAGCTTTCAGAAGCAGGCCGGAGAGCATGTGCATAGACCAGAGCTTTAATTCCCATTGTATTCTTGTGATCTTGGTGTGTGTGTGAGAGAGAGAGAGGTAGAGAGAGTGTGTGTGTGTCTGTGTTTTAGCAAAAGAGGGAGAGGGAGATAGAGATGAAGAAAAAGACAGGAACAAGGACCCATCTGTCAGCGTAGTGCACGAATCCCTCCCAATCCACTCTGGGTCTCCTGGGACAGGAGCACAGCACAACTCACTTGTGGCAGTTTTTTTTCTTCCTCTTCTTTAAAAAAATATTATAATAGCAGTAACAATAACGCTTAAATGGACTGGTCTTCTTTTGATCTTATTGCCTATAGTTGGTAATTCCTTGAAGGAATGCATGTTATCCTCCTTTCATGCCATGGTTTTATCTTATGAGAAAAAGTTGTTTTGGTCAAACTCTGAAAACAGCAATATGAAGTCTTTTGAGTTGATGAATTATTGATCTGTGTAGGGTATGTGTTGAGGAAGACTTTCAAATATAGGACATCAAACTTTAGCTGAGCAACTGATTTTTTTGCATAAGGTTAATTAGTTCTTGAATTGGACTGACATCAATGGCCATTTATTTTAATTTTGCTAACACAACAGATAACACTCACACACAAGTAACTATTTTCGTTCATTCACTTTTGCATGAGGGATCTAATGGTAGCAATCTCACTGAAAAGATTTTATTCCATTTTTTCCCCAAGAAATTTTAAGAAATTGATTAATTCCAAAATGAACATAAAGCAAAGTCTTCAAAAGTAGTGTTAGACCCCATGTTCTCATCGTTTAAGGGGGTTGGCTGTCTAAGTTAAATTAGAGCAGGCTAATTTTCTCAGTCATTTGGGATACCGAAGGGGATTGTGGGAGACAGCGAGACCTCAATTCGCCTTTCAGACTGCAGGTGTGCTGAGGTCATTCTCACACCCATGGGGTAGGAGTGGGTGTACCTGGGGAACTCTGGGCTCATCCTATTAGTCACACACACGCAGACACACAGACGCACACACATAATATGGCTCATCTTCTCCACATGCCTTTATGACCCGCGCGCTGACCAGGAGCCGCGAGGACCGTTAGGTGGAAACACTGTTTCAGCACCAGACATCATCTTATAGGTCGGAGTGAGTGACGCTCGCGCATCCAAGCAACAGATGCCGCCACCTCACCCCCCCTCACCCCCAGGGCTTCCTAAACCCGACCATCTGTTAGTCTCTTCCCAATAAATCGTTAGATAAGTGCCCGTTTTTATGCGATGTTTCTGATTAGCCACGTGAGCCGTATTCAGACATGGAAATAAGTCGCTCGCATAAAAAAAAAAAAAAAAAAACATACAGGAGGAGCCACAGTAGCTGAAGTTCACTCACGAGCACAGCTGTGCGCACTCACGCGCACAACAATGGGATCAATGCGGGGGCACGTGCGAGTCGCGAGAGCCAGGCTGTCCGTGGCGGGTGATGACAATAGACCCCCGCTGCGCAGCGGCTCGCCGCGCACGAGACTGGCGGGCTTTTATTAACTTTGTCTGCGGCCACGAACACTGCATGCGCCTGTTAGAAACTCCTTTAAATTCAATCTATCATTATTTATTATCTGATAAAACAGCATTTTATAACTTATCACAACACAAACAACAAACAGGAAATTATACAAAGACCTGGAAAGACTGCATTGTGAACTTTACCTCAGTTCATTAGGTTTAAGCCTATGAAGTACCTGTGTCTCTATTACTGCACCGGTCGATTCAATAATCAGATTGTGTTCCAGTGCGTGACGCTAAAAATGGACGAAAACAATCGAAGGAGCGGGTGAACAACGTGCGCGCACCTGCTCTGTGCGCACCAAGCTGTCAAAATCACTTAAATGCGCACACGAGGAGGAGCGTCTCCTGCACCGAGCTGCCTGTTCTGAGTTTAATTAGGTGGAAAATTCCTAATCCAACCGACTAATGACGACATACTGGCAACCCAGTTAACACACAAGACAACAAAGCATAATATAGAGGATCTTTAGTCCTGTAAACAGGTTTAGGTCGCTGTAAGATGGAGTTTTATCATAAAATATTCACTCCCGTGACGTGTTCGCCAATTATGCCTTTTACAACTTTCAGCTTCCACTTTGCTACTTTTGTTTCGCCCCTTTTGTTTTATCTCAATTTCAGCTTCTTCAGCAAATCTTGTCAAAGTCATTCTGCACTCAGTATTTACGTCTGCGTTACGCAAAAATGCATTTTTTTCTATAGTTCAGACCAGATTTTCTTAAAAAAAAACAATGAATATATGGCCTCCATTTTTATACGTTGTAATAAACAAATAAACAAATAAAATAAAAAAGCAAAAAATGTTTTAGTAATGCATAAAACTTTTTCATTTTTGCATCAGAAACAGTACTATTTGCAATAGGTTTGTCTTTAGATTAAAAGTCGAATTAATTATTATTATTATTATTATTATTATTATTATTATTATTATTATTATTATTAGATAATAAAGTTGATGATCAGATTTGGTTTGATGAGTCAGTCACTGATTAAAACTGACGGATTTCGGAGGCTTTGGCACCCGATGCGCACTTTACCTGCGCGCTTTGTGACACCCCCCCCCCCCACGCACATTTTCCAACCTGCCAGTGTTTCTTGATTAACATAGGATGTGCCACATGCACACCAGAGTGCGCGACCTCCCTGTTCTGCGCACTTTTTTATTTATTCTGGCTGCAAGACTGAATCTCCTGTCACGGGCCCGACACGCGCTTTTGGATAAATTGGCTGTGGGAGGGGCTGCAGAGGGAGGCGCTTACCCGACTAAAGGCAACAACATCAGTCTGTTCCGATCACTTGAGATGAAAGTTGCGAGCGCGTGCATGGCTGTCTGAGGGGAGGACCACAGTTTGGAACATTGGCAGATGCGCAAGAATAAAAACGCAGCTATTCTGGATTTTTGTTTTTCCTTTCTTTCACTCAGTTACAGCTTGTGAAATTTGCTGGAGTTGTCTGCCCCTTTGCACAGAACTACTGCTAAATCCAAACAGGTGAGTTGTTTTTTTAATCCATTTAACTTCAAGAAAACTAAAGTAATAATAAAAAATATGCACGCAAAAAAATCACGTTATTTTTAAAAATGAGCAACATCAACTGTGTGCACATTCAAAGGTAAATTAGATTCATGAAATCTGGGATTTAGTTTTAATTTAAACAACTTTTTTTTCTAAATTTTCATCAGTCTAAAATAAAGGCTATATGTTGGAGGGTTTTTTCAGGACAGGTTTTTCCATTTTAATTTAGAAATTACAATAATATGTCTAACTTTGTGCATTTATGAGCAATTATTAGGACAGTTTCCTGCAAAACAATAGCAACTCCTCTGTCCCAGATACATCTAATTGAGTAATTATAAGAACACAGTGGCAAAAAGAAAAAAAACTCACCTCTTTAATCCAAAATGATTATGTTTTATGTAATATAAAAATGTTTCACTTAAAATACAAAATGCAGTTACACATTTTTGTTCAAATCTTTCATCTGAGAGATGCTGGCTCAGAGAGCTGTCCACTCTGCAGTGCTGAAGTTGCTTTCATTCTGGAGGTTTTTCATGTTTTCTCATTTGATCAGTCAGTTTAAAACAAAATACAACTTTTCAGATTTAAATACATTCAACAGTGAAAAAAAGAACAAATGATAAACTTTCTGTACCTTCCTTCTCCAGATCAAAATGATGACCAGACCTTTTGGGAAGGGCAGGGATGTGAGTGAGCTGGTGAGCTCCCTCAGTTGGCTGGAGGAGGACGGCAGCTCCCAGGACGGAGACGAAAGTCCAGAGATGAGRGTTCGCCATGGCCTGAACATTGGGGCCCGGATGAACTCCTGCACAGAACTTGGCAGTGAAGACATGGAGGAGGAAGAGGAAGAGGAAGAGGAGGAGGAGGATGACGAGGAGGACATCGGACCAAATGGAGAACAAGGTCCCAAAAGGCGAGGCCCCAAGAAGAAGAAAATGACCAAAGCTAGACAGGAGAGGTTCCGTGCCCGGAGAGTCAAGGCCAACGCTAGGGAACGTTCCCGTATGCACGGGCTGAACAATGCTCTGGACAACCTGCGCAGAGTAATGCCCTGCTACTCCAAAACACAGAAACTGTCCAAGATCGAGACTCTGCGGCTGGCCCGCAACTACATCTGGGCTCTGTCGGAGGTGCTGGAGAGCGGTCAGTCCACGGAGAGCCACGGTTTTGTGGAGATGCTGTGCAAAGGTCTGTCTCAGCCCACCAGTAACCTCGTGGCTGGCTGCCTGCAGCTTGGACCCTCGCCTTTAATTCTGAACAAGATGGAGGACAACTGTGGGGGTTCAGGAGTGCCGACTGGACATACCCTCAGCTACCCATCCCCAGGCCTCCCAAGCCCACCTTATGGCTCCCTGGAGGCCTCCCACCTCCTTCACATGAAGGGACTGAAAGGGCCCATCTACGACCAGTCCTCTCCTAATGAGTGCAGCGGCGGCACGCCTCCGTACGACGGGCCCCTCACGCCCCCCCTCAGCATCAACAGTAACTTTGCCCTGAAGCAGGAGCCTTCTCCGCATGAATCAGAGAGGAACTACACGGTCCATTCCGCCCACCATGCCCACTACCTCTCATCCCACCATTACCCCTTTTCTACGACTGGCAGCTTAGGGGGGCCTCCGACTCAGGCTTCTCGTTACGAGCTGCCCCTGGATGTGACCTTTGACTCTTTCGCTCCCTCTCACCTGATCACGTCTCAGATAGGTACCATCTAACAAGTGGCTGGGCAGAGAACTGGACTAATGTACAAACTGCTGTAAAAAATGACAACTGTTGTTCTGACTGTATAGATAAAATGGTTTTGATTTCTGTTGTCGAGCACTCTGGACTCCAGAGCAGTGAATGCTCAAAGAGGGAGAGACTCAGCGCCTCAACTCAGTCTACCTGATGCAAACATGCACCCAACAACAAGAAATTATTATTTTACGTTTTAATCGTATAGTTGATATTTGGTCTCCATTTATTTCTGAGCAAGCAACATTTTCATTTGTTAAAAAAGCTAAACTARGGATTATTTGACCAAAACTTTCATGTTTGAAGCTTTGCAAAAAGAAGAGTTGATCCAAAAGTCCCCAGGTTAATTTGTGCACTAAGGTTCAAGGTCCTTTTGTAAGGAAAGCAATACATTTATTTATATGTGTATTTAATATTTATTTTGATGATGTCATGTCATTTGGATATATATTTTTTTCTTTTCAGCRCAGTCTTCGTTTCACTGTCTTCTTTGCCTGTTGCCATTCTCTGGTARCCATACTGTATTTAAGCTATTTATTCGGAGGTCTTTTCAGGTACTTGTTCATTTTGTGTTAAAATTTTTGTCAAACGTTCTGTTAATATTTTGCCATTTCGCACTTAATTGAATAAATATTCTTATATTATATGCTATTTCCATAGTAACAATGTGTGGCATGATTTTTTCAATGAAACGTTGTCTTCCCATTTTATTGTATCTTCGCATATAAACACTGACATTTAGGCAAGATTTTAAGTTGAATGAGTTACAGCTTTTCCTTTCAACTTTACTTAAAAGTTTGAATATAATTTGATTTTCTTTATATTTTTACAAAAGTGTCTCATTTTAAGTTTAAGTGCAACAACTTTCATCTTTTGAAATATTTCACATAAATGCTTAATTTTTGTTCCCATTCATATGTTTTTTATTCACAGCGAGCTAAACAGAATACATGCAAGTTTCTTTTTGATAAGTGCATTACCAGTGCACAAATTCCACAACAAAAGCAGTCAAAACTAAACAAGAACTAAAGAAAATGAAGGAAAAAAAACAGTAAAAGAAAAGTAATTGATTTACAGAAGCTAAAATGATAAATAAAACTAAACGGTAAATGAGTGGACGCCAGTGGTGGGGAATTGCTGCAGGACGTGAGCATCTGCGTGTCGAGTCTGCGTATGATGTCATTTAAAGACTTGCTCCGAGGTTTCATATGAGGTCGGTGGGGGGGGGGGGGGGTGCTGCTGCTGTGGGGGGGCCATGAGAAAAACTGCTCTGGGGAACAGGTGAACGAGTCACAGAGGCTTTTCTGATGTTCACTTTCTCTCACGTGTCCCATTTTCCCATCAGGCTCATGCCAAAACACTGTGAGGCGCAGAACTCGTTCTCAGATTGGTCATGCACGTTTAAAAAGGGCAGGAGAAGAAAAGGATTTCTGCAGAGACGGAGCCTGAATGATGTGTAATAAATTACACACCTATCCAGTCAGCAGAAATCCTTTAATTTAAAATTTCAGCAGGAATACAGAACGCTGGAATTATTTTTTAGATTATACCCAAAAGAGCCAAGTTCTCAACAGATTTTTATCAGTCACCTAATGACAACAAGTTTGGTTTTGACTTTAATGATCATGTTGAAGGACAAGATGGCTCTTGAGAGAAACAAAGAACGGGGTGCAGAAACCGAGTGGTAATAGTATGTGATGGTGTGTACAAGTGTGTTTATCCTCGTGGACCTTTGGGACAATTGTGCGAAGGAAAAAAAGTGCTTTGTAGGCTGTTGTTCAAGAGGACTCCTGCCCTCCCTCCCCCTCTCCCTCCTTTTTTCAGCTACTTCTCCAAATGTTTGTCTTTTCCAGTTCTTGCATAAAGTGCAGAAAGGCCACTGAAGAATAGGGAACGATTGTTTTAGTGGGCGCCACTGGTCTATTGTGAGCGCAGCCTGTTCTTTCTCTTGACCTGTGACCTGTATTGTTGTTGGGATTCTTGTTCAGGGAGGGCAGACAGCTGGGGGAGTCGAGGGGAGGGGAGGGGGGCTGCGCTGTTGGACAGCTGGGCCAGTTTGCGGGGAAAGAGAGGAGAGTGTGAGAGCATGTGAGAGAAGGATGAGAGCGAGGGTGGGTGGTGGTGTGTGTGGGGGGGGGACAAGTGTGTTACAGAAAAACCAGAAGGGGAGGACAGAGGACGGCTCAGAGGGCAGATGAGGTGACAGAGGTCCTCGCTCTTCATTCACCAGTCTGTCCTCGTTGCTCTCGTTGCTCAACCTTGGCACAGGAACGACACATTGCTATACAGACACACACTTGGCCTGGGAGAAAGTACTGGCGCATCCTTCTTTGTTTGGCCACGACAAAAGTGGTGTAATGGGTGAAAAAAGTGAATTATCCTCTGGAGTCCAAATACATGAGTGGATGGATATGGAAATAATCTCTGTAAATTGACTTTGGATACAAGATTACAAAACACAGGGACAAATGAGACAGGGGATTGTCAGGGATTGGAGCACAGAACAGCGCTTTTAGTTACATTAAAAAAAGTAGAAATGACATTCATGTGAGCTTTAAAGTCGATGTTTTCTGTTAGAACTGTAGTTTGTGGGTGTAAGAGACTTTTTTTTCAAACAAYACGAAGAATCACTAAAAATATTTTAAAAATACCACAGCTTCAAACAACTAAAGAATCAAATGGTACATTTCATGCAGCAGTAGCCTAATAATGAGGTGAAATCAGCAACTCCTTATTGTAAAACTCGTAAAAAGGCATAAAAAAATCCATGTGCAATATGCATTTTTTCAATAAATGCTAGCTCTTTAATTCCTAAAATGTTGTGGGTTGTGTTGCATTTCTCTGTAACTACTATTGAAGTGAGTGCTCGTAGCAACAAAACAATTTAGCAGAAGCAGCTGACGTCAATGATGAAGAGGAAAATAAACTGTGTGAAGGTGCTGAAGCTGACTCAGTCTTTTCTCCTCTCTCTCCTGCTCATATTTTAGTTTCTATGTACAGGACACCTAATCCACTGGCCAAACAAGCKTGGCCCTCATGAAAATGAAAAGTTTTTCATCTGCAGGAGCTTGGTGGAGGGATAAAGCATTGTAATTAAGACTGTATTAATGGGGCCATAGGAGGCTGGAAGGCTTTAATCAGTGTCTGTGTGCTGATAATCCCTCTGCCTTTAAGCTGAGGGAAATAGAGTGAGTCTGCCCCTCCTCTTTAGGCCTTAGCACACATACACACCGCACAGAGAGTCACACACACAAACACACACTCACACAGCTCTCTGTTAGGTGCAAAGGGTGTTGGGTGTCCAGGATGAGAAATGGGAGCATCACAAACAGACAAGCTAAACAAGCAGCTGGTTGAGGAAAGTCTGAAGAGATGATTTACACAGACAACAATGCTGGCAAAACCACACATCAGGAGGGGTCATTTATAAATACACATTTTAGTGCTGGTCACACCAAAAAGTTTAAAAATGAAATATAAATGGACAGAACAAGACATTTATAGTGTTTAGGAACTTTGGAAAACTAAATTTAGCACAAAAGGAAGGACATTTGTGTTACAATTATTTCTTTGTTGTTACAATGCTTATTGGCAATCTTACTGGGCACCTGATCAGAAACACCTGGGGGGACCAGAAGCTCAAAACAAGATCAGCATCAGCAAAATAAGCTGTTTGACAGAGAGGATTTGGCATTTTTTCCATGTGTGCAGCCCACATACTCAGCTCTACTGCTCATTCCACAAATGTTTCTTACAAATGTGATGCCATTTATAAAGAAAATTAACAGACTTTCCAACACTATAAGATTTATTATCAAGAAGCATTGTYACRACAAAGATTTAATYTATCAAACACAGAGTTCCTTACGYTTTGTGCTAAGGATTAAAACAAATCAAGTTTCAGTTATGGTTCTTGATTGAAGTTTAAAGCCAAAACAGGGCATAAAATGCTAAATATAGTGAAATTGATAAAAATCAAGACAGAAAACACTATTTGCAATAATTTTTCTAGGAAGAACAATGCATTTTAGAACACTTAAAATCTAAATCAAACATTGACCAAACTAAACAAAATAATGTTTAAATAGAATAGAAATAGAATAGTTATGTTAAGTAATTACTAGTTAAGTTCAACCGCCCGAAAACATGTGTGCAACCTAGGTGTTTATTTTGACTCAGGACTGTCTCTTGACAAACATGTAAATAATYTGGTCTCCACCTGCTACTTCCAACTTCGCAATATTTCGAAGCTGCTGCCCCTGTTGTCCATTTCTGATCTGGAATTAGTAATTCATGCATTCATCTCGACCCGCATAAATTATTGTAATAGCCTGTTCACCTGTCTGAACCAGAAACAGATAAATTGCCTTCAGCTCGTATAAAACTCTGCAGCAAGTCTCTCAACACGAACTTCAAAATTCTCACACATCTCCCCGGTCTTTTCAGAACTTCACTGGCTCCCTGTTCATTTTCAAATCAAGTTCAAAATCTTGGTCCTCACTTTCAGAGCTCTCAATGACCAGTCGCCTGACTACATTAAAAGTCTCATCTCCACTTACAACCCCAAACGCAGCCTACGCTCACAGGATCAACATCTCCTAATGGTTCCCCACACACGTCTCAAGACCCGTGGTGACCGAGCCTTCTCCTCCATGGCCTCCAGGCTCTGGAATGAACTTCCTATCCATCTGCACACGCTTGAAAGCATTGATTCATTCAAGAAATATCTGAAAAAACACCTCTTTAAACAAGCTTTTTAACTAACTAATTTCAGCATTTTTCGGCAGCATGACCTTTTAGTGTCATTTTCACCAAACCCTACCTACTGACCGTACAATTCATCATATTAATATATGTCAAACAGCCAGTRTTTTCATCCAAAATCATTTCAATTCATCAAATTTGTATTTTTCTAAAATGTGCCAGCACTCCACAATCTACCCATTCGGACACCTGCCTCCAAATTAATTTCTGATTTAAAAATCCTTCATCTTAATATGTTAATGTTTTACTCTGCCCTCCTCATTTTTGTCTAGATATTATTTGCTTGTTTTATTTTTCGGATTGCACAGTCTTGATACTTTGATGGTTGCACAGCTTTTATACTGTTTTGCTCCAAATATTTGTATATCCTGTTCTGATTGTATATATTTTGATTTGCCTCTGATTGTACAGCACCTTGTGAATCTATTTCTATGAAAAGTGCTATATAAATAAAACTTTACTAACTTTACTTTATTGTCCCGACGGGTGGAAATTGCAGTGTCAGCATCCGTACAGAGGTGCACACACTAGTTACTTTACAAACTATAGATAGTATACACAAAACAAAACTTTACACTGGACATGATACCACTACTAATAATAAAAATATATAATATAAAGAATTGTGCAATAGAAAACGATATGTTTTGTTTTAGAGACAGTAGACTGACAGAATTCGACATTAAGAAATTGCCTGTTTTCAATGCAAAAAAAAGTAAAAGCAGTTTTTTAATTTAATGTTTTTGTTTAATTAAGGTCCAAGTTGTGGATTTTCCTTTTTTCTAATTTATTTTATGTTGTTCCATTTCATTTGTTTTTAGATCTTCTTCCTCATTCTTCTTTTTTGGGGTCCGTTTTGTAGCCATCTTTTTTTAAATTGGTTTTTCTTCAGGTTTGCTTGTACTGAAAGCAGTCATCKTTTTCTGAAATCGTAATTTTGAATATCCACACAAAAACCAAAGAGTCACATTAAAAAATGACAATTTAAAACACAACAGTTTGTTGTAATTGAGCCTTAAAAAYCATTTGCGTTGTGCTCTGGAGGAGGAAGGAGAGCAGGTTCATTACCTCTGGAAATGGGTGTGAAAGGTGACAATGGTGTGCATGAGTAGAAGGGGTGGACCTTCCCCTCCCAGGGTTCTTTCTGAGTATTAGGGTGTAGGAGTTAAAGAGCTTCTAATGGGATCTGGATGCTCTCGTGTTTACCATGCCCCCCCTCTGCACGCCCCCTGCATTGTGGAAGTTTCTGGGCTTATAGGGACACCACAATGGGCTGAGCGAAGGGACAGATGGAGGTCTTTTTGGAAGAAGGTACAAAAAAAAAAGGGCCAAGGTAGGAGGGATGTGATGTCTGAGAGCAAGCACCAAATTCATCCAACAGCAGACACAGAGGTGGAGGGATAGAAAAAATTTAAATAAAGGAGGGCCTCATAATTCAGAAAAGGAACAGTATATCTCAAAAGTATTTTGTTTCCTGGAAATTGGTCAGTATCCATGAGTGGGTATGGCCTATACACCTTCCTCTATACGCATCAAATTTCCACCCAAGTTCCTTAAGGAATGATTTGCATTTAAGTACAAACATTTTGGATTTTGTTTGTGAAAAATCACAGGTCGTCAAACTATAATGCATTTTATTTAGGTTAGAGTACGCAGATCAGGGTAGAGAGGGCGTCTGATGCTGATGAAGAGAGGAGGACAAACGCCGGAGGAGGGTAGAGGGAGGTTCTGCTTGTAGGAGCAACAGATGGGGTCTGATGGAGAGCTCATGTTGTAAAGTTTCTGTTAGTAACATCTGTCCATCCATCTGCTACATTTTGTTGTTTACAGTTTGCAAGGCTGGGAATTATTAATCAGGAAACTGAACTTGAAACGCTTCTTTGCAACATTTTAGATCTGAGAACGACCAAATGGGCTTCATGAATAAAACTGCATTTTCCTGTTTGGTTTGTCTTCTTTAGAAAATGAGCCGGATTTGACGAGTTCTTTAAAAATTCCCACGATTCAAACAAATGAGCTCATTTTTCACATCTGTGCTGGTTTATTCTCTTTGTTCACTTTTTAGAGCACATATGGTTAAGTGGATTGACACCAAATACGGGAAATAAATCCTGATTAGACTTACATATTGATGTAAACATGTTTCACAAGAACTGTTTAACCCAACAGTCATGGATCATTTAAAAGKTTTTACCAAAAACTGCTGGGTATTTTATAAGATTTAAAATTTTAAAGCACTTCTTAAACTTTTCAACTTCTAATTCACAAATTAAATACGTTTTAAATGCACAAACTTTGAAAATTACCCATTTAAAGATCAGTCTATTTTTTATAATTTCAGATTATTGTATTTGAAACAGTTGCAGTAAATATAATTTTGGCTTAAGTAATTTTGGTTTGCATTTGGTTTTCGTTTGTGGGTCACATGACCCACAGTGGGTCCCTAACCCCACAGAACAAAATCCAGTCCTTGTGCACAACCGTTTCATTGGAAATGTTACATCACTCGAGTGTTTTTGTCTAAAAATATTCTTTAATTTGCTCTGCCGTGAGTGGATATAAAGAAAATAAGCAGCTGATCTGGGCTCAGTGGCCAGAGTGTTACATTAGACATTAATCCACAACAGYGGAAGGTTGGAGAAGAGATAGCATCTTTTAATCCAGCATCCATTCAGCCCTCCCATCAGAAGCAGAACTTGTTTCTGCTACAAAACAAAGCTCAATGTTGGTGAATTCTCTTCTAAACTCTTGTTCATGAAAATACTGCAGGACGCTTTAGGAGATTTGTTGCACGGACCATCTTTCCTTGCAGTATTCAGTGCAATCTGAACCATGCAGTGATTCTTGCACCCAAGCCATCCTCTAGGGGTTAGACAAGTCTCCTGGCAAGCCCTCTCAGCACACTGTCCCTCTATATGTAACAGATGTTACTGGGGCAACAGTTGGTATTGAAAAGGAGGGGCTCCAGGCCATCTGTCCAGGGTCAAGTTTTGAAAAGATGTGCCRGAGATGGTGGCACGTTCAGGAAAATGGTAAGTATTCTCATCTGAAAAGAGGGAATATAGCTCACATTGTAATCCTGCTTAATGTGTGCTTTCAGATCAGAGGACATTTGTGAAGGTTTGGAGTTAAAGACTGAAGCAGTGACATAATGTGGGACATGAGAAGGCTGCAACTTCAGCTCTAAAGCACCATCTTGTGGTCAGAAATAGCACTACAAAAAAATGTACATTTTCCTCAAAACTTTATTGCTCTGTAGAAGAACATCTCTTTATTATAATCTTTAAATCACACCTTTGAATTTAAAAAAATAATTTATTGCAACGAATCACAGCAAATCTAACTGCGACTTTAGTCCTTCAAGGGTTTTGTCCACAAGCTCACGCAAATATGCCAGCTCCTTATGACAAACCTTCCTCTGCAAAAAGAACAGAGAGAATCACAGCTTTGAGTTTAAGAAAAATAAAAACACACACAACCCTTCTCCTTACAGCTCTTAGGCAGACTAGAAACCAACCATGAAGATCTTTAGTCTCTCTTTTTCCAGGAGAAAGAATTCACTCACGGTGAGCTCGGTGAAATCTTTCTTCAGTGACAAAAAGCCACACTTCGGGGAGCGTTTTGCATGCTCAGACCTGGTCAGGCAGTACAGCATGGAAGGAATGTGGCAAACAAAACGATTAAATTAGTCTCAGATAATTAAAGGCCTGCCATTCATTGCATGTCGACCACCAMTTTTCATGYCAAAGTTTTAAACTAARAGAAATTAGTCTATTTGCCAGATTTTGAAAATGTCATTTACTAGCTCTTGGGATACATGTTGGAATGACTCAGTTAATGTGAAATTTTAGCCCCATGTCTGAAAACTTGACTTGAAATGTGACAATTTTGGGTCAATGTTGGCAAGCGGCCATTTCAAATAAGTTGACTTTAAAAAGATTATCAGTAGATGCGCATCCAAGGAAAACTTCAGAGAATGTCATTCATATTGTCTACAGGTTCATTTTTTTTCTTACCAGGGATCATCATCTGGCTCCCAGCCCTCCAGCTCAATCAGACAGAAGAAACAACAGGCAACGTCRGGTTCGTTCTCAGTGGGACAGTGGACGAACCCGGCCTTGGCCATCTGCAAAGACAGACAGCAACAGGAGCCTCTTGGAATCCTTTTTCTTAATGATCATCAGAAACAAAATGCAACAGGATTAGTTCCACCAGTCGGGATGAAAGGGAGACCCTCCTCTGGCTTTTAGTGTGGTTACGAGCTGGTAACATGACAAGTGTCAGCAGCTCGTTCATTATRGAGGGGAAATGTCTGCAGCTGTTTTACTGTAAAACAGAAGTAATCAATATCTAGGAATGGTTATACTGTAAAAGATTAAGATTACATTTTACGTTATTCTGATTGTTTTTTGTAAAGGAAAAGTTTAGTCAATTTTCAAAAAGTGATATATCCAAATCTATTGTTTATTGGGCATGACATCAGTCTGAGCATGAAGCAKGGGTGGAGTTAGACTATTTTGCAAGGGGTGCATGTCCTCAGAGGGGTGTGGCCAAGGTTTTTTTGTCTGTTTATTGGGGCACATACAAATAAAGTAAAGCACCATGGATTTGAAAATTCAATATAGCCACCACAGCTTGTTCCAAATAAGTTTAATTCAGCTGAAATTTCATCTGATTATAGAATGATCTAAAAACAAATCTTAATGCCAKTCACAACCTATTATTCAGCCATTTTTTGACAAAGCTTAAAATTAGTGAAGAGATGGTTGAAAACAATTTACCAAATTCTAAATGCTTATCAAAAATTCAAGATGATCACCATCTAATTTTTAGCCTATGATTCAGACTTGTTGAGATTAAATTAATTGTGGAGTAGCTAAGAGTGATCACATGTGGAACACCCATGCTAATCTGAAATAAAGCCAACCACTAATGATAATGTTAATTTTACAAAGAGCCATAGCCCAGCCATGTTTAAACATACAGATTTGAAGCTTTATATAGTACAGAATCAGAGAACAATATTTAACTAAATCTAAATGTATATACAAAATCCAAGGTCCCCAGTTGTCACTTGCCACCCTGGCATGTAGTCCTCAGTGTGTGTAGTTTTCTGATGCAACTCAATTTACAGTAATTATCAAAAACATTATGCCACACAATGTTCTGAAGTTATCAAGACTTTGCACCAATATAGCAAAGTCTCTGCGGTACAGTCATCCTTCATTTCCCCACCTACCTGTGCAGGTGTGCAGTTACACTCATCCTTAAATGGCCAGTCTTCAAAGCTCTGTTCCCGCAAGTCATGGTGGTACATTTTGTCATATGTCAAAAACCTGCTGTTCAGCATATCTATGCTTGCCATATTTCTGAGCAGAAACGGGTTCAATTCAACATGTGGCGAGTCCCAGTGTCAGTGTTTTGGTTGATATATGCTGACAGCTTGAGTTGCCCTGCACACCTAAACAGATGTTTTCACTTTGGGCTGATTAAACACTGCTGGAGCTCAGGGAATGAAAAGCTCAGATGACAACATACCCAGACTGCACCACCAAGGACTCTGGTTTTGTTTTTTTGTGCACTCCTGCAATCCTGCATATTGCAGCCACGCCTTAACTTGTAAATTCAACATTTCCTTTAAAATAACGCCAATTTCACTTCCGTTTTTACTGTCAGATTAAATTTAGCAAACACAAAAATGACTAACTCAGTAGATGTTAGCAGTCAATGGTTGCCACTCCTTAAAAACACAAAATAGCACTAACTCTGTAAATTTTACAGATAGTTTACATTTTAGTGTGGTATTAGCTGAGAATCATTTCCATCACATACTCTAAGTGCTACCTATTGCACAAAAGCTTTGCTTAAAACATTGACATTTAATATTGGAGTCAACTCTGTTAGTAAAATATCCTCGAGGCAGATTTTAATGAAGCTCTCAGAAAGTAATCGCCGGACAAACATTTACAACAGATTAACTTTTGGAGTCAATCACATTCAAGATGGCAGTCACAGCTTAATGACATTAATAGACACAAAACTGGCTACAGCGTTGTCAGTTCAAAAATACTGGGTAAAACTCGATCACTCCAAACACCAGCAGAGAGTGTGAGGTCTGCCAGTAACGTGTGAGATAACACATATGTTTAAGGTTATTGTGGCTCCCCCTAGTTGTGAAACCTTTCAAGTCAAACGGAGACATATCTGTGATAATGTAATGMAGAGGTTCTCAAACTGGGGTCCCAGGACCCCCAGGGGTCCGTGAGAGGTTTCTTGGGGGGTCCTCAAAACATTTCACTAAATTGTTTGTTTGGTTTTTATTTTTAAAAATGCATAAAGAATGATGAACTAATAAAACAAACATAATAAATTAAATAAAAATACATATTCCCATGGCATTTAGGGGTTGAAATGACAACAAATTATCTTTTAAAAGAGCATGGGGTTTATGAGGGGGTCCCTGGAATGTTTTTCACCATTGTAAGGGGTACCCAGACCCAAAAGGTTTGAGAACCCCTGATGTAACGTATCTGATACTGCAATCTACAGCAGTAACAGTTGAGTTTGRTAAATCAAAACTGCATTTAAACGATTCAAAGTTGATGATTAAACTTCCTTTTCACAACTGTAACACATGATTACACAGCTTTAAAACTTAATGACAGTTTTCTAGCAATACGACAAACAAAAAGTTAATTTTAGTTTTTTTTAGTGTAACCTTTACCATCTTGTTTATTACAGTGTGAAACAGAGCCACTCCGGGTCTGCAGTGTGTCTCTGAAACATTATCCCTCAGGCCCCTGAGTGCTGAAATGTGCTTACAGCTGTACGCTGCCGTCCTTTTCCCCCCTTCTAACCTTATCTTCCTGCAGACAGCCTGGAGAGGAACACGCTCCCAGCTTTACAAGGCTGAGAGCGTCTGCTTGTTACACCGAGTGTCTACAGTATAGCTGCCAAGGCTCTGAGAGGTGATGCTGTGTAAGGGCTAATTGAACAGCAGGTCTGGAGTCAGGTTGGCCATATTCGGAGGCCACACTATTAGTTTCTCCAAGTGTGTGTGGCTTCCTATTTTTGGAAGAATAGGAGTGTTAATTTTGGATTTTGGTGTGATTTTTTTTCTTTGAAGCATACATGCTCTGAGAAACTCAGGAAAGTAGGCGCATAATTGTTAAAAAATATCTTGATTACTTTTGCACTTTAACGATTAGTTGAGTACTTTGTGTTTACAGTAAAATAAAGCTTAAACTTCTCTTTCTCATCTGCAGCCTCCCTGTTACAGTAAGAAGTATTCTTTTCTTCCTCTGACATGATTGCGTTATTAGGGCCTGAGATAAGCTGCTGGAATCTCCTGCTCTAGGTTTGTTTTCACACAGGGCTGACACCGAGAGGGAGGGAGCGAGGGAGGGAGGAGGTATGATGCAGGGAGCTGGATGGGAGGTGGCAGAAGCAATGGTCATGTCGTTTTTTAATCTCCACATGTTTTTTTTACATGGTAACTGCTGCTTCAGTGTGCCACTTTTGCAATCTATTAAATGAAGAAGAATTTAAGAGTTTGATTTTCACCTGAAGAGGTCTGATTACTTTCATGTTGGAAGGATTTAAAGAGGTTTCTGTGTGAGAGCAGGAGGTGCAGCCAATGTGGAGCACAGGTAAGAGATGGACCTGATTTATGATCAGAATTTAACGTTTGTTCAGCTGCGTGTGTGCT